TTGCAGATTTTTGGTTATACCATTTTACAAACAGCTACGCAATCTTGTAGGTTAATATTATTAAATAATTGATAAGCCCAAAAGTAGTGTTTGAATGAAATTAATCAGCACATAACAGATAATTTTTTTTTTTTTTGTGAGCTACTAGAAGTATTACACACTACGGATTCCTTGGCATAATATTCATGGCATCCAAGACTTTTTGTCTTTATTTATATTTTTTTTCATATATTTTAAGATTTCAACTAATACTGTATTTTTTTTTGGTTCATTCTGTTTTTAGTAAACAGCTAAGGCTTCTAAAATCTTCTACCTCATATAATTTTAATACAAAAAATTAACAACTAGAAATACAGAGCCATTTTCACGGATGACATATTCAGTAACATATGGTCATACGAAGTTTAATTTCATGAAATTAGTAACAATTTTATTTTTAATTTATTTGGAAGTTGTGTGGTAAGAAAATGTCTTGTAATTATGAAGGTTAAAGGTACTTATAAAATTCTTGGCAGTAATAGTCCTATAGGTTTGAACAATGAAGCATATGCAGCAAAAATTGCTTCGTGAGTTAATAGAAAAAGCTAATACATATTTGGTGGTAGATAATCATATGAATTTAAATTACTTCTTCGTGGAACTAAGGATAGTTTTACCTCTGATTTCATTTGAAGAAAACATCCTGTCGTCGTTATGAAGGTTAAAGGTACTGATGAAATTCTTGGTAGTTATAATCCTATTGATTGGAACAAACTATTTTCAACAGTTATCAATGAAATACATTATTTTATGGGTTATTGGAAAAGCAAATACATATCAGAACCAGGTAATCCATATGAAGTTAAATTATTTCTTCGTAGAACTAGAGACAATTTTACCATCGTAAAATTTTATTTATTTATTTTTTTTTGGGTTGAGAGAATAAGTAAATCGGTTATTAGTAGCATTATAATGTACTGTGTAATAAAGAATAAATAAATAATTTTTATTAATTTTGGGGATAATATAATCTTGAATGGTGTTTAGAATTAAACATTTAATAAAGCATATCCTTAAACATTTAATAAAGCATATCCTTAAACATTTAATAAAGCGTATCCTTAAATTTATCAATATAAGTTTTTAGTATTTAATTAAAAAATAATATAAAAAATATATTTAATAATTCAATAAATATTTATTTATGTACAACTTTACAATAAAATATTTTTTTCATTCTTGGAAAAGCTTGGAAAAGCTTGGAAAAGCTTAATAAAAATAGTTGTGGTGTACAAATTTGACTTGGCTCGAGATGCAATGCCAATATATTAAATTTTTTTTCTTATAAAAAGCTCTCATATCACCTTCGTTTTATTAACTAAATATTTTCAAATCGGCAAAAAACACATTACAATGGATATCAATTTCTCACAATCTTCGCAAGAAGATTTAATAGATATTGAGAACATAGATGATGAAAACTATGATGATGATCCTATATTTAACTTAGAGCAAGGCTTATACGAGCATGCCCTAGTTTCAACAGAATATGAGAATGATCTATGGAAAGAATTAAATATAGAAGATATACCAATCTTGCAAGAAATAAGCGATGAGAAAATCAGTAGTGAATACACTAAAGAGATTTCTATGATTGGGACAAAATTTATTACACCATGTGTTATAATCGATAATGACCATAGAGAAATACGACGCTGTAATAGAGAAAGTAATAAGAGGTTGCGAAAATTAATTGGTATCTGGGAAATTGACATGGATGCTGTTAAAGATGTTAACAGAGAACTTCAATTTCTTGGAGTATGTTCAAGACATTTTAACTATGACCAAAATAATATACATAGCAAAGGTTTGAAAGCCCAACGCTCAACTGAAAAAAGTCAAATCCATTGTCGTATCTGTTTTTTCTGCAACAAAAAAAAGATTTTCTTTAGTTGTAGAACAAGTTGTATAGAACATACACGGATTATGTATAATTAGACACTACAAATACCTTGTGCTGGAATGGTTCTCTGTCCAGCTATTGATCAAAGCTTATACACAGCAAATATATCTAATTCACGAGGAGGTCATTATGTGTGCTATCAGTGTTATGAAAAGAATAGTGGATATTTGCATATACGCATGGGTACAGGAGCTAAAACAGACCCAGGATGCACCGCAATGCATTTATATGATATTGAAACTACTCTCCACCACTTTGCAAAGCTAATTGAAATGGTAGCGTATTCAGAGAATGAAGTAACAAAAAAGAATTTACTTCAAATTCTTATTCCGTGCTTAGAAAATTTCGATTTGGATTCATCTTCTGCACCTAGCCAATTACCCAGCTTGTTTGTAGTTAATACAATTTTTAAAATTAGGGGACTTAATTTTTCCAAACAACAATTTATACAAAAGCCTAAAAAATATGAAGAATTTGGAAAGTTACTTGCCCTTGAAGTTTTGAGATCACGCACTAGTCTAGCACCTTGTAAATCAATATTAGAATATCCCAACTTCTTACAGCAGTACTATAAAACAATATCTAAATGTTTAACAAGCTTTTTTGATAAATTAGTTCTTACTTTGTAGCTTAAAAAATATAAAATTGTAAAACAAAAACAAAAAGAACTAAAAGTGTTATAGCTGAATTTAACAAAAGTGAAGTAGTAAAAAGTACTGCATTTTTGTCTTCTATAATTCTAACAATCGCATTTAGAGGTTGGAAATTTTGGCTTCCACAAGTGATCAGATCTTTTTGTGAATAGCCAAAACTTGCATCATACTTGCGTGGTATTCTTCGCGCGGCAAATGTGGTAGCCTATTCAAAAGATTATGAGGTAAAGGTTCGAAAGAAACACATGTCAGAAGCAAATGTACAAGAAAAAATAAAATCAGGTTCAAATATTTGGAACTTGGCAGTAATAGACAATATTGATTTCAAAGAAAAAACATTTAGAGCTGGTAATCTATATGATGACACTCGAGATTCAGCTCATGCTACCTTGCGCATAGTTTTTCAGTTTGAAATACCTGGTCTTGATATAGCGCCTTCAACAACTGATATTGATTTGTGTGGAAAAAATCTATTTGTAGAACAGTGGACAGAAAAGCTTACTCAGATCTTCAACTGATTAATTATAGAATATCCACTAGGATTTGCTATGGATGAAATAAATACAGTACTCAAAGAAGCAGTGATAAAAGGATGTAATGTTTCTCCTCTAACTGTCGTTATCTTAAAAGCTGGGCCAGCACCAAACAGTAACCTTGCAGTACATAAAACTTGTAAAATGTATATAGAAGACCTGAAATTAAATCAAGGTAACTCGTTAGACGTTGTATGTGATGAGGCTATTTTTCGCAGACTTACAGATTATTTCAATAATTAATTAAAGTTAAATCCTATTCTTGGTCAGTGGCATACAAGCAAGGATATGTGTAGTGCTTTAATTGTTGCCTTTTCCGGATATGGATTATTTGAATTAGCGTCTGTACTTGGTACAAAGTTTTTAGAAAAACTTCAGAATGTTGTCGATTATCGTGCAATATTTTGTGTTCTTGAACTTATCTGGGCAGCTGTAGCAATTGTTATTCATAAATATATGAATGACAATTGCATAACACTAGAAAATATCAAAAATGGAAACAACAATATTTTAAAAGTTTGGCTCCTATATTATCAGTGGGCAGGTTGGCTCAAGCTTCACAAAATTGGTATTCGAATGGGTAATTTCGAAGTTCAGTATGAACATTTGAAAGTTTTTGCACCACTATTTCCCGTCACTAGAAAAAGAAGATATGCTGAATCAGTACCACGTTTTTTGATGACAGTAGAAACAAATCCAGTACTAAAAGCAAAACTTCAGGCAGTTGGGTCTATAAATCTTACCGCAGATGAACATTTTTTCGCATTTGATGAAGCATTTGAGTGTTTTGGTGTAAAATTTGTTAAACAAAATATGACTGGATGCCCAACTGATCCAGAAAACTTAAAATTAGTAATTAAGGTAGCCTAAAACGAAAGAGATCGATTGATGGCATTGCATGCAGAATATGTAACTGATATCTGTATAAGCAAATCTACGCATGCAGAGGTTAACTGTAAAGAAGCATTATGGAAATTAGTAAATAAACTCTCTGAAGCAATTTTCTGTGATGAGCTCGAAAAGCACCCACTGTTTGAAATCTCTGATCAACTAACACCTAGTGGGTATGAACATATATTTACCTGTTATAACAAAGGAGTAATTAGAATTATGAATATTGTCAAACAAGATATTTTAAAACAGGAGACACGTATTGCAAAAGGACGAGCAGAAAAAAATTTAGTACCTTATCTTGTTTGGAGAAAAAAGGCTACGCAAAATAAAAAAAAAAGGAGTATGGAAGATGTATCATAATCATAAAAACATGTTTAAACAACTATTACCAATAGTATTTTAGCCACGGCATTCTTTTTAATTCAATTTTAATAAAAAGATGTACTCCTGCGCAAAAATTAAAAAAAAAAAAAAAAAAAAAAAAAAATCCAATTTCAAAGATCTTGAAAATTACTTTTGAAATGGTTTTGTAATAGCTTAAAATTCTTAATTTTGCTTAAAATTTTTTTATTTAATAACGAATCCTATTCTTTATTACACGAATAAATTATATATTAATAGAAGTTTGATTCTTATATTAACTTTAAAATGATATTCTGTAAAATTTTACCTTTTTTATATATAATAATATATAGTACAATCTTTGCACGTTAGTTACTCCCGAATCTACAAAGTAATGTCTATTAAAATATATGTTTTCTTAAAGATTATGCAAGTTTCAACCTTCTCAACTAAGTTTTACTTATTTATTTTACATATTCGAAAAGAATCTTAAGAAGAAAAAAAAATACTTACTTATTTTAGTCATTATTATTTTAAAAACAAGTGCATTAAATAGGCCAAATAAATTATTTTTCCGTAACATAAAATACAGAAAACAAGTTTTCTTAGAAGAGAAAAATATATTTATTAGTAAAGCTAAATATTTTATTATGTACCGATTTTTATATATTAATAAAAAATTTTTATAAATTTATAGTCGATCAATTTTGTATGATATATCGTCCGATTGCTAGTGATATACCCCTTGTATATTTATGTATATTTATATATAAATATAGGCTGTATCATCACTTTTGATACATCATATTTTTTAAAATAAATTAAAAAGTTTATTAATAATATTAAATCTAATGATTGTCATTTTAAACTATACTTTTAAGATTATATATACTATAATATTAAGGTTTAAAAATAAATTTATTATTTTTTAATTTGTCTAACTAAACTTTAATTTTTGATTTTAAATAAATCTCAAATACTATTAGTTTACTTATATCTTTAAAGACTTTTAATTACTACTTTTTATTAGAAAAAATATTTATTTTTATATTATATAAAACTGCTAATATGAAAAAAAGAAAAAAACTCTTTTCTGTTTACCTCTGATCAGGAAAACAAATAAGAAAATAAATATAAACTCATTAAAAAGAAACCAAAATCTAACTAATAAGATACTAATAAGGGCTACAGCCCTTATACCAAAGAAAAGAAAACTTCTCCTACTAGTAGAACTTTTAGCTTCAAAAAATTTCTTTAAAATACCGAAACTTGATAATGAAAAGGAAAAAGAAACAAGTAAATTGGTTACTAAGAAAAAAGATAAAACAAGCTCTAAAAAGAAAGAACTAGAACAAGTAAAAGAAAAAATAATTGATAAACAACTAGTTCCAGTAGTAGTTATTCAAAATAATGAAAACTGGTCAGAAAGTTCTTCTCAAAGTGAAAGCAGTAACCAAGCATTAAAAAGAAACATGTCTAAAAAAACTGACAAAACAAACAAAGAAAATGAAAACAACAACAAAAACAGTCACATAGCTAATACAGAAACTGAAATTAGTAACAACACAGAAAAACAAACTGATCCTAAGGTTATACATAGCTATGTCTCAATTGTTAAACAAGGTACTAACTTGTCTGCTAAATTGAAAAGGGTAAAATTGATCTTTGTAGCTTTTTCTTCTAGAAATCAAATTAGATCTAAGAACAACAACACTTTAATCATTGAAATCCTAAACCTATATAACTCTCTTAATAAAATTATAGCTTCTCTATATGAAAATATGAGAAGTGATATCATCGCTACTAAACAATATTTAAAAAAAGATTTCAGGTCTTATTTAGAGATTGTCTTTTCTAATCAAGAATAATTAGAACACTATGCTACCAATGGAATTAAGATTTTTAATGAGGTCTACTATGGATATATCCCTACAAATGCTAGAAAATCTTTTCTCTTAGTAAAAGTTAGAAATATTATGTTAGGAACTAAAAAACATATCTCAAATCTCATTAAAGAAGCATTTGAAGACTTTGAAAAGATCTCTTCAATTAAGCCATTACTGATTGAAGGTACTCTATATATGACAGACCAATAGATAATCATCTTTGATAATACAGATGATCCAGAATTAGAAACAAGAATTCCTTACTTTACATTCATTGAGAATAACAAAGTAACTACAGAATAGAAAGAGACTCCAAAAGTTTGCTTTTTTTGTGACCAAATAGGACATATTAAAAGAAACTATAAGCAATTCCAAGAAGCTAGAAATTTGAGACATTATTTTCAAGAACTCAAAAACAAGAATAAACAAAAAGAGATAGTGACAGAGACTTCAAATAAAATCTCAACTAATCTTGAACAAGAAAATTCTAATCCTCAGATCTCAACACAAAACACAAATATAGAAGTAGAGCCTACTCAAGAACAAGAAACTCATATAGAAAAAAATTCTGATGAAAACAAAATAGATACTAACATTGAATCTTTAGCCTCTGAGAAAGAATCAACAAACATATCCGCTGCAAGCTCAGCTTTAGAAAAAAGAAACTTTAACTCTGAAAACAACTAAACAAATATAGAAGAAATTGCAGAAGATACAACTTTTACTACAGTCATATATAAAAAAAGAAAACATATAGAATCAAAGCCTTATAAGATAATAAACAAGGAAAACCAAAATGATGAACTAGGTCAAAGGACTCAGAGCAATTCTAAAAACCAATAACCTACTTATCATAAACAACTTTACAATCAAAATTGCTACCTTAAATATTAAAGGCTTAAATAATTTGGACAAACGGCTTAAAATATTAACATTATTAAAATCCTATAAATTAGATATTATTCTTCTACAAGAAACAAATATCTTTGATATAGCTACTCAACAATTTTTAAAAGATTAATAGTCTTTTGATTCTATATAGACAGGCAGAACTACAATTTTAGTAGGGAATAAAGAAATAAAACTTCAAGACATCAAAAAATCTCAAGAAGATAGAATAATCTCAACATGCTTCACCTTCAAGAAGTTCTCTTTTCATATAATCAATGTTTATGCTCCACTGAACACTTTAAATAGAACAGCATTCTTTGATAGCTGAGATATTGAAAGAAAAGAAAATATGATAAATATCATAGCTAGAGATTTAAACACAAATTTAAACTCAGACATTAACAGAATGAGTCAAGCAAATATTCAAAATATCCCCTCAAGGGAGTTGTTTAGAAAAATTTTATTGATTCTGCATTTTTCTCAAACCAAAATCTATTCTTTACTTTTCATCAAAAAACTAGAAACAACTAATTAATAGCAACATGACTTGACTACATTTTCATAGACGAAAATTATAGTTATCTAAAATCAGAAACTCGAATAAAATTTGGAAACTCAGACTATTTTTTGATAGAATATATACTAAATCTAAAACAAGAACCTAGATACTCAGCTCATTGGAGATTTGATGCAGCTCTCTTCAAGAATGATTTTCTAAAAAATGAGGTTTTAGACGAGATCAAAGAGGTTAAGGTAGCAACAAAATAGAATATGCATAAGATTTATATCAAATCAATTATCAAGATATTTAAAAAACCTAAAGCTTCTGAAGACAAAATTGAAAGACTAAACAAAAAGATTAGTCAGACAAAAGAAGCAATAGCAAAAAACTCTAATAGAATATATCTTCACACTACTTTGGATACACTGGACTCACAAATCTAAATAGAACTAACAGACCTAGCAAATAGATAACAATGATGCTCAAAAGCTAAATAGGTTAAAATAGAAGAGAAATCTACTAAATACTTCTATACTCGCTATAAAAGTAGAAATTCAAGTTCTGAGGTCTGATGATCTTAGTGTAGTAGTTAGGTTACAAGACTGCTATGCAAAAGGTCTAGAGTTCAAATCCTACTGTCGATGAATTTGAATAATTATCCAGATCTTTGTACCCAACTTACAGTAAACTCTGCCTGTTTCTGGGGTTTACAACCCTGTAAATCACGTTGCACTAATGTCAATCAGACATTGGAAGTATGATGCAATGTTCGAGTTACATTGCATGAATAAATCTTGATAGGATCTATGAGAAGGGGACCTGTATAGTAGAAATTCTGAGTTTGGTGAAGTAGTATGATTTTGATAGTCAAGCCAGTTAATGTCTGATCCGATAAAAAACCTGAGTACGAAGGATGTGAGATTGATAGGTATGAGTAAGTCCACTGTGTAATGCAGCCTGGTACTTTGCATTAGTGGCAATACCAACTTGGCTTGGCAGCTAACTAGATTGGAAGAATCTATCTCGTAAAACATTTGGCTAGAACTTGGAGGACTATATCTAGTGGACAGCCATAGCAGGAACTGGGTTCGTATGAACATCGACAAGGGTCTAATTCAAGTGAATATGTAAAATAAGCACATAACCACTCTGGTAAGAATTACTTCTGAGGTTAACCAGAGCTCTGCGGCTCACAATACATTAGGTATACATATCCCAAGAGGATCTAAGCTGTGCAGAGAATAGATCCACAGGTGAACTAGCTGGCTTAAGTAGTTAGTCATAGTGGTGATATTAGTTTGAGATAAGAGGAAAGGTTAATGATCAGAGTATTTAAATAGGTAATTCACAGACAAGTTGCAGGTATGGCAGCATAGTGTAGAACCAACAGATAGTCGATCGTCTGTATAGTGGACTACTTAAATTAGACAATGACTAAAGTTGTACATGTGGCTTGTTGTATAATTATTATGTAACTGTAAACTTTAGGAAACTGTTCATGTAATAGTTCCATAATAATAAACTAATAAAATCTAATCAGCTAAGGAAGTGGCCTTAAAAAAAAAAAAAAAAAAAAAAAAAAATTCAAGTTTTGCTCTTGCAGAAATTCAAATCTCTTCATCGCAAATACAAAATAATGAGAAGGAAGTACTTAACTATATTAAAGAACAATATACTTTAATTTATAATAAAGAAGAAATTAATCAGAGAATAGCAGAGCAAATCACTGAAGACCTCCTGCAAACTTCATCACAAATGAATAGCAAATTAGTAGATTATATTTCACAAGAAGAAATTATAGAAACAATTAAAAAGCTATCAAACAACAAATCTCCAGATTTAGATAGCCTTATATATGAGTTCTACAAACTCACTGATGAACATATTGCTCTAGCTCTAGAACTAATTTTTAACCAAATTCTAGATGTAGGAATAATATCTTCTTCATGATACAAAAATCTAATTATATTAATACTAAAGAAATCAAAAGAACTCCATGATATAAATAACTAGAGGCCCATATCTTTAGTAAATTGTGATGCAAAAATCTTTATAAAGATTATTACAAATAGATTGAACTCAATCTGTGAAATAATAGTCCCTCAATATCAACAAGGTTTTATTGCAAAAAGACTAATCACAGATGTAGCTTTAGATATTCTCACAATTCTAAGAAACCAGAAAGATGAATTCAAGAACCATTGGATACTCTTTGTAGATCAGCAAAAAGCATTTGATAGAATAAGTCATAAATTTCTACAAATTGTATTAAGGAAAATGAACTTTAATTAGAAATTTAGAGAATTAGTAAGAAACCTCTTTAACAAACAAGAAGCCTATATTACCGATGCAGGA